AAATAGTGTAAAGCTACACTTATCGTAAAATGGAGTGAACAAGTTGTTGATAAGGACACTTAGAATTGATAGACCCAATTAAAAAACACGCAATGTCCTTAAATTGCTTAACTTGTTTTCACGTACTCAAACATTTAAAACATGAAGAATATGTCAGTTTCTGATTCCCATGCAAACCATGCACTTGTATTAAATATTACATAACATCATCGCATTAAACTACTCTACTCTCTCTAATTCTTCTTCTTCGATTTCATAGGTGGTCTCAGATTGCAGCACGATTACCTGGTCGGACTGACAACGAGATCAAGAACTTTTGGAACTCAACAATAAAGAAAAGGCTTAAGAAGATGTCGGATACGTCCAACCTCATCAACAACTCATCCTCATCACCCAACAACACAAGTGATACTTCTTCTAATTCCTCCTCTTCTAATTTGGATCTTAAGGACATTATAGGAAGCTTCATGTCCTTACAAGAACAAGGATTCGTCAACCCCTCTTTGACCCACATACCAACCAACAACACTCAATTTCAAGCGCCACACATGATCAACCACCCATGTAATGACGATTTTACCCCTTACGCAGATGGCTTCTATGGAGTTAACGCGGGGTTACAAGGGGAACTTTACTTTCCACCTTTGGAATGTGAAGAAGGTGATTGGTACAAGGCAGATATTAACAACCACTTAGAAGACATGAACACTAATGGTAATGGAGCTGGAAACGGAAACGTGCCTGAGAATATGAGAATGGAAGAATATTGGGACCTTGACCAGTTGATAAACACTGAGGTTCCTTCGTTTTACTTCAACTTCAAACAAAACCTATGAATTTTTTTACGTCATCTTTTTCTTTTTATTATTCTATTGCAGAGTTATACTCAAGATTCTTAGCCAGACATAATTGCAAATATACATATTGTTATAGATAGATGAAAAGTCAGAGAGTGTTTTGTATTTCGAATAATCTTTTCGTACTAGGGCTTGACGTACCATGTCCATGTGTAATGATTAGTCAATGAAAAATACATATAATGTATCCCTTAAATAAAGAAGAAATAAACACATACATTCATATAACATGGGCAAGCATTGGAATAATTTTGTATTTTTTGGTTTACAATGTAATATTATATATGCGTTACAATGTAATATTATATGCGTTAATGAAATGTACTCTTCATAAACAAGATATATAAACATATATATGTAAATAGTGATTTTGAGTCCCAACTAATATCAATTCAACCCATTCGTAAATTAGACGTGACCAACTAATTTACAGACTACTCATTACTAATAACATCTTATTATTGCAATAAAACATTTAATATAAATAAATCCGGCTAACAGTAAATAATTTGGTATGTATATCAGACATCATCATATTAAATTTAGAGATTTTATCAACCTTCGAGCAATGTATAACACGCATATGTTTAATGCGTGCGTTTGGAAATGGATTCCTTCCTCGGCCATAGGCACCAAGATAGCCTCGAATCGGGTGTATACTCCGAAGTGTTGTGGATCTTATTAATATGCAGACTCTTCATGTACTTGGTTATTTGATATCATGTAATCTGCCATTCAAAACCGTCAATGATTGCTACACATCCGAATAATGTTATATGCTTGATGTGCTTGCCAAGCTCAATCGTTTTCTTTAGCTTGTACCTTATGTCTCTTTTTGCACTTTTTCATTTGGAATCAATTCCTAAATTACTACAAGGACTCCACATTATGTTATCCCGTGATACAAGATCAGTCTCATTTTCTCTTAGAAGTGTATCGCAC